AATTATAGACACAGCTGTTGACACTGCGACCAAAACAAAATTATTCTAGAGACAAAAACAAACCCGTGACACCCAACCATGGGCAAACAAAGGTTATGAGTTCATGTCTGCATCAATGCGATTCTTTTTTTTATAACTGACCAGAATTCCCAGGTAATTCTAAATTATCATGTGAGTCAGGTATTGTATTTTCCTAAGTATCTTCTTCTTCTTCTGCTTTAATCTGAAGATGTAATTGCGTTGTGTCCGTTTACAGCAAGGCTGCGGTATTTGCACCTTTCGGCCAACACATCCGATTTCTGCGGGCATTTGTTGACCGGTTTAGCCTTTCTGGTTTTCCTCCAAGTATAGGACGCACTTGTTTTTTCAGAAATAACAGGTTTACAAAATATGTAGTCTTAAACAGTTGTGGAATTAAATAATCATATTTTTTATTTAACTATTTATTTAATCATACATTTTTTTTAGAAATTTTCGGTCCCCAAGCAAAGAAACATCATATTCATGGGATCATTTCAAACCTGAGGAAATATGGTAATATTTTTAGAAGTTAGGTCCAATGGCATAATGTTGACCAAATCACACATCGAGCAGCGAAGCTAAAAAGGCAACATTTCCGGCCCCGTCCCTTTTTATGCTCATGACCTGTCAGATTTTTGAACAGACCATTTGGCGTCCTGTCACACTATAATATAACAGTGACAGATGGACGCAATAGCAGGGTTACACGTAAGCTAAAATTTTTTTTTTTTAAACAAACATAAAAGGAGAATAATACACATATTTTGGCCAGAGAAGATCACATATGGATAACTGAGGAGTAAAACAAACTGCTCGCAAACATTATCAAAGAAAACAGACCAAAAAGAAAACAAAAGGCTTGGACATGTTTGCAGAATGCACCGTAACACTTTTGGCGAGAACAACTCTCCGGTGGCTAAGCAAACATTCATTGGTGAACTCCTGAGTTTTCTGTAATTCTAATTTCTTTGTCACCTCAATGACTTCCATTGTCATACTGCTGGTGGTAGAAGTAAAGGCTTCACTGTCTTCTTTGATGACTTTCCGTTTAGTTCTTGCCATGGAAGCTCATGCACTTTGCTCCTGACGAATCACCGAACCTTCTTGTTTAATACCTTTCCACTGTGCTTCTTTTTCCAGTTGACATTTCTCCTGTCTTTTCGGTGTTGACTCCAATATCATTTGTTTAGAATTCTTTATTCATGGAGGTGAGATGTTGCACTTTCATGTTTTTATCAGCCTTCAGTCCTGATCATCAGCAAAGAGTAATTCATTTTTTGTAATAATATAATAAATAAAAACTAAACTGACAAGAGAATTAAAATAAATACAATGCATTTCAGGACGTTATTGTGGTGATCAGATACCAGATACCTTGATATCAACAGGAAGAAGGATGTGGGTAAACTACACAACACAAAATGGTGGTTATAACAGCTTTGCTGCTTCTTACGAAGGTGGGAGTATTTCCTATTTCAGTAATAAAGAACATAATTTGTGTCATCCATTGATTCTATTGCACATTTTTCTTTATCTCTCCAGAATGATTTTTGTTGTTGTTGTTGCGCCTTTCTGGTTTTTTTCCAGTGGTCGCTGACCTCAGGGGGAGGGGTGGGGCCATTCTCGTTAGAGGTCATGAGGACTTTTCAAGGTGGGAAGGGGGGAGAGTCAAGCAATTTTTTCAAATTACTTCCATCTGTACTTATAATAATCCGGATTTTCTGCTATAACCTTCATGAAAACAAAATACAATTACTATCTTACTGTGGAGAGTGACCTCCGTTGTACTTCGCTCAACATCAGACAAACAATAGAGGTATCATAAAGACAAAACAAAGTCAACCATACTTTTAATATTTGGACACTAAATTCCCAGTTGCTGTGATTATTTCTTTCGTTATTTGACACCTAAACTTATGTCCATGTTTTACTCCAAGTTGTTAACACTGCTTGAGATTTTGCTTTTGTTATTTGACACCTAAACTAATGTCCATGTTTTACTCCAAGTTGTTAACACTGCTTGAGATTTTGCTTTTGTTATTTGACACCTAAACTTATGTCCATGTTTTACTCCAAGTTGTTAACACTGCTTGAGATTTTTCTTTTGTTATTTGACACCTAAACTAATGTCCATGTTTTACTCCAAGTTGTTAACACTGCTTGAGATTTTGCTTTTGTTATTTGACACCTAAACTTATGTCCATGTTTTACTCCAAGTTGTTAACACTGCTTGAGATTTTGCTTTTTTATGATGATTTTTGGAGGGGGGGAGGGGGGAGGGGGGTTGGAAGGTGTTTTCCCATATACCCGCTAGTTTTAATTGAAGTATTCCACAATCTGAGCACTGGATTTTATAACTATTGTTGCAATTGCATTTATTTAATGGGCATCTTTCGTATGCAAAGCTTCTATCAAAATAATAATAAGCTACTCCATTAATCTCGCCAAGTATATCTATACTATAAAACTGGAAATCTATTTGGCTGTGTCTGTCTGTACATTTTCAGTCAACTAATAAATCTTCACTCAAGGTGACGAGTAGATGGTTGAAAAAATTTGCAGTGTCAATATGGCCGCAGTTTGGAATTTTACAGTTATATCTGCTGCAAATGTTTCTAAACATTTCTCCTAATTAACGCAACAGTGCTATCAATTCCAAACGTGGACACTTACATCCTCCAATGAACGTGAAATTGTGACAACAGAGATGCAATGCCTTAGAAGAGCAGCAAGAGTTTCAAGTAAGAGACAGAATACAAAATCATGAAATCAGACGTTTGCTAGAAATAAAGCCAGTCTTACAGGTCATCAAAAAACAAAAAATGAAGTGGTTTGGACACCCAACAAGAATGCCCTGGTACTATCCGCCACAGCGAGCCACACTAAAAGGTTACAACGGGTATAGAGCGAGTGGAAGACTTCGGAAAAGATGGAGTGATGGCATTAAGAACAGCCTTACATAAATGAACATCAGTCTTAATAGACCTCTTGACAGAGCTTGTCAACGAACATTACATCTCCTCCCGACACTTCGATGAGGTACAAGATGGAGGAGGAGAAGAAGAAGAAGAACGCATCAGTCACTCAAAAATCACTTTACTGGAGCTATATCACTTGAGTATCCACATAATTTTATTACATCCCTTAAAAATTTAGTTTCCCCAAAAAAATTCCCACTTTTATCTATCTTCATCCAATTATAAAATTATCTTCAATGATGAGGCAATAGAGGAAGTTAAACAATTTAATGAAACTCTTGTTGAATTTGTGAATACATCTCCTCATTAAATCCTGTGAACACAGAGTGGCCTCTCGACTTGCACAAGTCAAGTAATAACTCCTCCCACTAGATGACATGCAGAAGGTTTAAATTTGCAGTGTCAATCTGACTGCAATTTCAAATTTAACAGTGATATCTGCGGCAAATGTTTCTAAGCATTTCTTTTAAATAACGGTACAGTCACTAAAAGATCAAATTCACTGATGTTATATCCCTTGAGTACCCGCATATTTTCATTACATCCTTTAAAAAATTAGTTTTTTTAAAAAAATATGCTTTCTTCTCCCTTTATCCAGCAATGAAGTTCCACACCATTATGGGTGTGGGATGGGGTAATAGAGTTATTGCCTCCCTGTCAAGCATCTTGGAAGAGTCGACTAATTAGATGTTTCTTTTTAAGTCGGATGCATTTCCCTGATGGGCAAGGAATCAACATTAGGCATACAAATACCATAGAACTCAATAGCTAAATCTAGTTTTTATGAGAACAATTAACTGAATCATTCTAGCGCTTCCTTTGTGAAGAGACAACTTTAATTATCAGCGCCACATGTCACCAACTTGTTATTAATATGTATAAATATAACTTTGACACATTTATCTTACACTATCGTGTATTGGGTTCGAATCCTAAGAACGTAGCCAACTGTTATCTGTTGAACTATTTCAACTACATTGGTTTTAAACAAAATCTACGGTAAGAGCCTCCATTATCTGTTACATACCTACTTTAGTAACTATTTACTCTGGCTCGTTGAGTAGGCAAGCTATCAGACTTACTTTAACTAGAACGCACTTAAAACACACCCCTACGGTGTACACACATAATTGTCAATGTACAAAAAACAATTCAACCTCAAGCAACCCTCAGCAGCAATGGGCGTTCCATAATCCGAAATACCGGCGATGGTAGCTTTGACATTCACTAATCCCCCCCTGCGCCGTTCCAATGGATTTACCACGGACTCGATACTAACTCAGTGTCGTACAGCGTTAACTAAGCTGTCGTCCTCGTCAAGCAAGACTCAGTGGCACACATAAGGTGAGTGATCTAAGTATGAGTGCGCAGTGTTAACGCTATTAACAATGCATGTCAACATTAACTACCTGCTTAACAGATTCTGCGTCAAAACTTCTACTTCGCAAGAAACATTACAGATGAACAATCTTGTCAAAACACCGTATGGAAACTCAACATTTCTAAAGCATAACCACAAAAAATATATTTGATAATCGTCACAAATAGAAGATAGTTTACAGTCGCAGTCTGACACACGTCTAGTCCAATTGTCCTACACGTGTCTCTCAGAACAACCTCTGTCCGAGCCTCTTAGTTCCTCTTCAGCGTTCATCTCTGACAAGCTGTACCTCGTGTTACTTGTCGAGCGCAGGGCATAGCCCAACTCAGCCAACACAGTTTATTCCTTGGTCGAACTGCCCGATCTCGAGTTTTTCTGAGGGTCAATTCATTCGACCGCGATGATTCATCATCAGCACACCTACTCATCACGTAACCGAACTGGCCTCTGACATTTATTAATTCGATTAGTAATAAATAATAATGATAAAATATTCATTATTGTTTTATGGATGGGTGGATTGATGAAAGCATAGATGTATAGATGAATAAATGATAATTTTGAAGCAATATATAAAAATTGTAGGCCATCTCTAATTATATACTCTTCACACTCCACAGCTAGTTGTGGAGGTGAATTCGTTGGTTCTGGAGTGATCGCCAGCCCTGACTTTCCTGCTGAATATCTTCCTGGAAAGAATTGCTCTTGGAAGATTACAGTAAAAGAAGGGTTCATTGTGGTCCTCGAATTTAGATTCTTTCAGGTTAGACTTTAATTTTAACTTAGTAATGTTTCCATACATTTTAAAATCTGTGCAAATGTCGACTGAGATCTGCTACCGTTTAAAGTGAGAATGGGTCAGTGTTAGTCACACTTCGATAACTTCTGTCAGCTTCTGAGAAATGGCGCATTGTTTGTCTCTATTCTATATCTTCTGAGCCATGATGTAGTGTTTGCACGATCTCGATATCTTCTAAGGTATGATGCTGGGTTTGTCCCACTTTTATTTTTCTTCTGAGGCATCACGCAGTGCTTGTCATATTCCTATATCATAAGAAGCATGATGCAGTGTCTGCCACATTTCTATTTTTTGTGAAGCATGAAACAATGTTGGTTAACTGTCCTATTTTGTGTGAGTTTTGACGCAATATTTGTCAGTTTTTATAGCTTGTTAGCTATGATGCAATTTTAGTCACATTTCTATAGTAAATGAGGTTTGAGGTTTGGAACAACAGATCATCATCACGGCACAGGGTGTAACCCATAAGTGCTCTGTTTTCTCTAACTGAAGTCTGAGTCCGAAGAAGCTCAACACAGTGCACAGGCTCTGTAGCATTGGTGAGGATCCTAAAATACTTTGGGTAGATTTTTATCTTCCAAATTATGCATGGATAGCGTCTTTAGGCTACTTTTTTAAATTTTAAACTGCCAAGGGATTTTTTTTTTTTTTTGTACATGCGCAACAATGCACACGGGCGTCCGGTCTCACTAATCAGAGACCACAAGTTCACATGAAAAAATCCCAGCCCTTACCGGGGATCGAACCCGGAACCTCTAGCACTCGAGGTGGACACCATGGCTTGAGACCACGCATGTAAGAAAGAAAAGACAAGGGGTTCTTCTGCGCAGGGATCCTGGAATATTCTACCAGAACCCAGACCAAAAAATTCTCTATAGTGCGTTACATGAGAACTACTAACTACATAGCTAAATTTACCTAGTGTTACTATGTTCACGGACTACAGATTCTAAATCAAGCAAATGAATTATATTTATTTAAAAAAACAGCTGTTTATTTTACTTATCGCAAAATTAACGCATACTTCACAGATAATATATTAACAACAACCAACGTGCTCGAACAGAATCTAAACTATCTCTGAACGAGAATACACACTGATATATCTACCCACATAGTTTAACTACTAGAGACAATTTCAGAGCTCACTACAGAACGTACCACGATCGCAATCACGAGCTGGACTATCTATCTCAGTCTGGCCAATCGCACCTGCACCGCGATGTGGTCATATCCTGCCAACATCATCAACACAGTGCAAATGACCATTGCAAGCCAGGTCACACGCCAGAGAGAGAGAGAGAGAGAGAGAGAGAGAGAGAGAGAGAGACCGTAAAATACACCGCTTTATGCAAGGTCTTTTATTAACTAATGGCTGGCCAGAATTCTTTGCATTTCTGTCAGCTGTTTTTGGACCTATCACATCTACGCCCATCATTTTTGTTGACGTCCCGGCAACTACACAATAGATAACAATTAGTGTCTACCAATCCCTCTCCAATTTCTGGTCTACAACTCACAGAGTTACTGGCTATAGCCACCTGAAATTAAATCATCCTCCTGACATCTGTAAAATCACTAAAAACACCCCATCTACGTCAATGAAGGTGATTATCATCGGAACACGTAAGCATGCGCGCTGATGTCCGAGACACCATCAGAGTAGGATAAACCCCCATCTAATCCGCTCCTCAGGAGAAAATACATTTAAACACATAGCAAATCATCACTCACACACAACAAACAAAACTGCACACAAACAACATCAAAATATAGTAATCAACTAACATCAAATACATCGTGATCAGCAAACATCCGGATTCTTGCCCAGTTGGGAGTTTCACTTTAACGCCCAGTGATTCTTCGCAGATGGGTTCTCTAAGCTATTTGTTGCTTCAGCAACGGGGCTTACATTAGACCACTTTCAGTCTTGTCTCGGCCGCATGGGCATCGGGATACATATTTTACTCGTTACTGCCACTACCGCGTGGCTTCCGAGTGACATTTGACCTTGCCACCACAGCCTGGCTTTTAGGGACGTTCCAAAACTTTTACCTCAGCTTCGGGAAAGCCTACAATAGACATAGGACATTATGTCAGCTATGGGTTAGCCTACAATGGACTGATCGGACGTACCTCAGCTATGGGTGAGTCTACAGTAGATATCAGACGCTACCTCAGCTTCCGGAAAGTCTACAATAGACTCAATCTTGTCGAGATACATTTTAACCACTGTCTCGGCCGCGTGGCCATCGAGAGACCATTCACCACTTTTGCCACTGTGTCGGCTGCTCGGTCATCGAGAGAATATTTAAGCACCGTTACCTCGGCTTTGGGACAGTCTACGAAATTACATTATGGTCACAGCAATATTAAACAAATACAGAATACAACTACAGAAAAGCTCCACCAAGCAACTCTGCCAGTGCAGCAGACATGAGCTGCTAAACCTAAATAATAAACAGGCCAACAATCTACCTAGATTCACACATGCACTCTCTAGTAGAAGAACTTCTAACAGTTGTTGTAGGTCTTCTACGTTTTCAGCTAATAATACTGTGTCATCTGCGTAACGAAGATATTTTGTATTTTAAGTTTGAACTAGAATTCTTGGTCTATCCTTGACCCCTCTCATAATTATTTCCCTATAGAGATAGAAGAGATCGGATGACAAAACACAACCTTGTCTTATTCCTTGCATAAGTCATTCATAACTGCTTACTTTCTCAATTTAACTGCAGTTTCTTGCTAACAGTAAATATTTTTTTTTTCAATATTCTGATATGATTTTTATCAATGGTAAGATTCTCCAACAACTTTTTTTAATGCCCTCTAGTTTCACTTTGGTGCCATATATGAAGCATAAGTATATTTATCTTTCTGTTTCTCGATCAAACTCTACTAATGTTCGCAATGAGTATATTGCATTGTTTATACATTTTCCTTCTTCAAAACCATATTGCTCTTCACTAATTTCTAATTTTATTTTATTTCTTGTTCTTCTCATTATAATTCTTAGTAACAGTTTATTAGTGATATTGTTTATTATGTTGATTGTACGAAATTCATCATATTCAATTCCCTGAGTCTTTTAGCTTGTGCTATAGATGCAGACTTTAACATATTATTAGGTTTATCTCCACTGATGTAGATATCATTCAACTGTGAAGTTAATATGTGAAATCCAAATTATCTAAATACTTCTATTTCCTTTGTTGTAATTCTATCTGGTCCGGCTGTTTTCCCATATGCATTGTAAGGAACTTTCTATAATCTTATGACCTGTGATACAGTGTGTGTCACACATTTGCTTAAAGTTTAAAAATCAAGTGATGTAAAGCAGAACTCACGAATAGAACTGACTGTTCATATCAGGAGGAGACAAACTATATTCTTTTATCATGAGATGAGGAGACAACTGGAGTACACAGTGATGGTGAGGAAGTTGGAAAGGAAAGCAGGCACAGGAAAACCGAGAAAGAAGATGCTGGTTAGTTTTACATCGTCGTATGGAAGATCTTCCGTGTTAGAACTTATAGAAAGTTCATAAGACAGAAGGTTGTGGACATACATGACTACCAGCGTCATACGACACGACATGGACTAGAAAAAGAATCAGGCAGTGTTAGTCACATTCCTGTACACATGAGTTGATGAAGATGTTACAGAGATAAACTAAACTGTGAGGATCTCTACATTTGTCGAAGACTAGAAATGTATCCCTCACCTCATTTCGCACAACATGTGTGAAGTAATAATTGCGTTGATGATCCCAGGTTCCTCATCTCTATCCCACAAACGATTCGTGACTATTCCTAGTTGAAACCATGACTCCATAATCGCACTCCAGCTTTGACAATGTAAATAGTTCTAAAAATTGCCGGCAACCTCAAATGCAATATACGGCGCCGATGTGAAAGTAAAGGACATGACCCTATTTCCCGCCTCCAGCCGTACTATGCATATAGGGCTAGACCTTTATTTGATAGACTAATCGGCGCTTGATGTATGGTGGGATAGGTATGGAAGCCAAAGTATAATTCCAATAATATTAAATCACAATAGCACTTTCTTAAGAGCTTTCACTTTTTATTTATGTTTTCTTTTGATGCTTTCATTAGTTACAAAACCACATAAACTGTGAACACGATTACGTAGCAGTCTACAATGGACCAACAGAGGCATCGCATTTGGTTGGCAAGTACTGTGGAGATAGAAAGCCAGAAACAATCAAGTCCTGTAATAACACTCTGTACGTGAAATTTGTCAGTGATCAGTCTGGCCAGAAAGCTGGTTTCCTCGCTACTTTTGTTCAAGGTAATATCTTTGTTCTGTGTGGTCAATTTGTCAATAGTTATTTGTTGTTGCCGAAACAAATTGCAATAGAAATATCAGTGCTTCCTCCCCCCTCCCCTCCCCAATGTTCAAATCCATCTAACTTTTCTTGGAGATGATGTTATGCAACGTTGATATGAACGGCTCAAACCAGCAGTCAGTCAAACTTTTTACGCAGCCATTTCTGTTATCAGATTTAAAACCACCATAATTCCTACGTGTCACGAAACGATCTCAGTGATTCCAGAAGTTAGTACTTGTAATAAGTTCTTCTGGTTATTGAGAGACAAGAGACTATGCCCTTAAACCAAATGTTACTTTAAACCGTATTGATTTAAATGTTTCCAGTCCTTAGTCCAGACAAAGCGACTGAACCTTGGGTAATATTACCTAAAACTTTACACTGTAGCTAGGAATTCTATTCTCATGCCAGTGTCAGAATGTTATCTCCTGACCACAGACTGTAGAGGCCAGCGAACGGGGAACTTAGCATCACACCTGAGCTGGACCGTAGGTCATAAAGATTAGCTAACACGAATTGAGCGGACTGTAGACATTGAGGCGACGAGAAGTTTAAAGTTTAAAACGTCAGTGTAATTCTGGAGAGAACAGGTGTTTGGCAATTAGGA